AGCGGGGTGACAACTCTGTGTGGGTGTGAGGCGACGGACTGCCCGCATCGGGGTGATGAGAGNCCCCACCCAAGGATATTAGTGAAACCAGCACCTTCCCCCAACAGGCTCAGGTTACATTCAGCGCCACTGGTCCCCGAACAGGTGGCACTGTGACCCAAGCGATACAGAGAGCTCACAAGCTCTCTGCACAACCAAGCAAGTACTCAAGAGCAGCCTTGGGCATGGCCGTTCCTGTCTTCATTTATAAGTTATAACAATGTATTTCCTTCTTCAGGGAAAAAAAAAAAAAAACAGGTCCTTAAAGCGCCCAGCTTCGATGATAAGCGCAAATTGAGAAGGGGTGCATTTTTTCGAAATTGATTCCTTCCCCCAACTACTTGCAGAGACTGACAACAGAACAGAACAGACACTGCAACTACCCCAGAATGAATATGGAGCTGGGCACGTACGGACCTCTTTTTTTTTTTTTTTTTTTTTTTTTTTTTTCCTTGCATTCTAGATGGTGATGTACGTAGGACAGCGATAAGGGGAAGGCCTCAGTGACAGTATAAGAAGAAAAAAACAAATTGGACCATTTCTCGATTTATGCGTGTCATCCTTCAAAGCGCAGGGGCCATGTTTTTTTCTGGAAAAAAAAAAGAAATTGCAATTTGCAACCTCTGTCGTTCGGGACATCAGTTAAAATTCTAATGTGTAACAATACGGAGAAGATTAATTAGCATGGCCCCTCCGCAAGGACGACACGCATAAATTGAGAAGGGGTGAACTTAAAAAAAAAAAAAAAAAGAAAAAAAAAAAGACGAAAACAAATTGCTACCTCTACTTTTGCAGAAATTGCAACCTCTGTCCTTCAGGACATCCGTTAAAATTGGAACGATACAGAGAATGAAGATTAGCATGGTCCCCTGTGCAAGGATGACACGCATGGATCGAAAAATGGTCCAAAAAAAAAAAAAGATGAAAACAAAGATAAAAAGAAATCAACCTCTACTTCTGCAGAAATTCTCAATTCCCTCACCAAATATAGAAAAAAAAGAGAAAAAAAAGGGGGAAAAAAAAAATCACCTATGCGTCATGATTCCGTTGGTGTGTAGTACATTTGCCGCCTTCTTCTCCGGGAAGGAACTCTCATCTGATTCATCCTTGGAATCTTCTCTAGAATATAAGCTCTGATATGACACCAAGGCCTCTCGCCGCGCTACTCACCAAATGCAAAAAAAACAAAAAAAGACAACTTACGGCGGCGTATCTTTCCATGTCCTAGCGAAAGATTCATTCCCATTTTGCATATTTGCCGAGTGCCCAGGCGAGGCCCTCAGTCTGATGATTAGTCGGACATCACTCAAGGGGAAGAACAATACCTGTCCGAGAGACAGACCATAGCCGAGGAAGATGTTTTTTTATCGAAGTAAAGTAAAAAGAATACGAAAAGAAAAACTCAACTTGTCCTTGTGTAGTTGCAGCAGCGCAAATTCCCACCTCAGTTCTACTCTGTACTACTAATTCAAATTCCCACCTCAATTCTACTCTTATATCTCCCAATTCTCCTTTCTCCTTTCTCCATACGGATTCGAACTCACGTCTGTATTTCAACAGTTCACGGGTGTGCCAACTGACCTACGCTTGTCGCTCGTTGGTTATATCTCCCAAAATTCTCCTCTGCACTACTCATTCGAACTTGTTGTCTCCCCATTGTACTCTATACTAACCTCCTCCCGTTTTTTTTTTTGTTTCTTGTTTTTTTTTTTTGACAAAAATATATGGCTGTTCCATCATTCCTCCTCCCATATTTCTCCACAACAGACCTTTTTTCTTGCACTGCATAACAAATTACAGCCACAACTGATTGAACTTGCTCTTCAGTTCGTCATCGCGACTCACCCAGCAGCCTTCCGTGCAACCTCGCCGCGCAGCTCTGATGTGCCGCCGTCACCCATCATCACCAGCCAGCACCCTTACGTGTGACACGCTTCGACATTTTCCACCGTCATCTACACACCTGCTTTACGCTTCAATCTTGCCACATGTCACCATGCACACAAATTACCCAAGGCCGAAGCCATCACTTCCAAAATTCCCTGTCGCGTAGTTCATAAAAACAGTGGTATCTTTAGCCAAGACCACTTCGAAAATTCCTCGTCGCGAGGCGTACACACTGTTATGCCCCTCGCCAAGCAGATGGTCTCGGCTCAGATACCACAGATGCCACTGTTTTTATGAACCGCGTGCCTTGACGACGTCGAACAAGTCACAGCAGCCTTCTTTCCTAGTACACACTTCGACACTTCTACCATCCCCTGCATCTGCTTCGGTCGTCACTCTCACCGCACCCCACCATGCACAAAATGCCCAAAGCCTCCACTCCGAAAATTCCCCGCTGCGAGGTGTACACACCACACTGTTCCCCTCGCCGGCCAGACTGGTCTCTGCTCAGATACCTCGGCTCAGGAACCGCGTACCTTGAGAATGGCCGACAAGTCACAGAGCATAGCTGTAACTGGTCAGGCACACTGAAGCCGGCGTCGGCAGACGATCAAATCAAACAACGCTGGTGCGGCGCACTCTTAGAGAGAGAGAGAGAGAGAGAGAGAGAGAGAGAGAGAGAGAGAGAGAGAGAGAGAGAGAGAGAGAGAGAGAGAGAGAGAGAGAGGTTCAGAAATTGGCATTGACCAGTGTGCATTTGACTACAGGCTTCCCCCGAACAAAACACAGATGTGTTGTTAAAGGAAAACAACATGGAGGTTGCTTTCTATTCGAACAGCCCTTATTTCGAATACAACGCGTATGCTTTCTATTCGGATTTTTGAGTTTTTTGAAAACTCAAATGCAACACATATGTGTTTTGTTTGGATGTTGGGGGGAAGACGGTAGACCTTTCCCGTCAGCGGACGGGTCGAGGAGTGGGCATTGACATGTGTGCGCTTGACCAGACCGGCTGGGCCTTAAACCGCCAGTACACGGCCCAACCGCCTTGCTGAAAATGCAACTCGTCGCCTACAAAAATATTCGGAGGCTCGGCCTACCTACAGGACCACAATGACTGGTGGCGCCAGCCAAAAAAAAAAAAAAAAAGTGTGCCGCTGGCGGTTCGGAAAAGTGTGGCGCGCAGTACGGCGCCTCCAGGCCCGGGTGTACTTACGGCGAGATCCCACTGGCAAAGAGGATTGCAGCAAGTGTCTGAATGCGGACGTGTTTGTGGACAGGTGCCAAAAACTATGATTGATCTACTTTTTCTGCACCTCTGCGTGGAACACGTGCAGATTCAGACACTTCTTCCAATCCTCTTTGCCAGTGGGATCTGGCCCTTACTGGTGGTTCAAGTACACTGACGGTCAGGCAGTCAGCCGCCGGCTGCGGGGGCCTGGCCTACTTTCAGGGAGTTGGTGCGGATAGAATACCCCATGGGTCCACAAAAAAAAAAAAAAAAAAAAAAAAAAAAAGAAGATTACCCCATGAGCCAGTACCACGGCATCTTGCCACTTCAAAAGATGGCGAGGGGAGGGGGGGGGGTCGGAAATAGTTTTACCTGAAAGATTTGGTACCCTCCGTTACTTTTTTTAGGCCTACCCGGTCACGGTCAAGTTCTGTTTGCCGAAATTATATTGCAGGCCTGTCCCAGGTGCGGAAATTACAGAAATATCCCCCGAGGCCAGTTTTCAGAAATTGAACAAAGGGCAAACATGCAATTCCCAAAACGACAAAAGCACAAAACTGAAAAAGTTTAACGCTGTGAAACGAAACGGTTTCACCCCGTTGATCCGACATTTTCAGACACTGAGATTCGATCCCTAGACCTATTATGCCTGAACCCTGTACATTGCCCCTGTGTGCTGAGTGAGATTCGATCCCTAGACCTATGCCTGTGCCCTGCACATCTACCCAGTGACTGGACTGTGTGAGATTCGAACCCGCAACCTGTCCCGTGTCATAGGTTAGGCCGTAGCTTGGGTAAGTTGGACTTTATCCCGAGGTATGTCGGTTAGTAGGGCCCTAGACTCAGGTAGAGTATGTTACCGGTAGTCCTAGGAGGGGCTGTTCTAGAAGTCTCTACCTGAGTCTACTGAGGACCTAGAGTCAGTCCGTAGGACTGTAGACTCTAGAAGACTGTAGGTCCCTGTGGACCGGTCCAGTCAGCAAGTATCAGGGAAGGGCTGCACGTGGGGGGAAGGATGTGGCCACGTGGTATGCAGAAGGGTCCGGAACACACGTTTTGGGGCCCAGCAGCCCACGCGTTTTGGGCCTACCAGGCCTACACGGCCTGGAAGAGTCCAGACGCGGGCCCCATGCGGTAAGGGGCCAGGCCCACGCGTTTTGGCCCAGGCAGGGCCCGACCACCTCCGAAGAAGTATAAATAAAGAGGCAGCGTCCAGCCATTCATTCATTCGCCTGTGAGCCATGCGGAAGCGCTGACTTGGTGACTTGTGCATGGAGGTCTGCAGGTGCCCGGAGCTGAAGTCGGCAGCGAGGAAGACGACGGCGGCCATAGCCGCCCAGCTGTTATCACGGACAGAGTGTACAGAGTGTGTGTGTCTGTGTAGCGTGGACATTCAGGGTAGATCCTCGTACATGTGTGGATGAGGGAGAGTGAGGCTGGTGGTGGAGACAGTGTTCGGAAAAGGAAGAGAAGCGCAATCGCCTGCAAATTTGTGCAAAAGAATTTTAAAGAGTATAAATAAATGACACGCAAACGAATTCATCGAGGGCCGGCTGAGAAAACCACGGGGGGGATGTCGCTCAGGTTGAGACGCCGCAGGATGTGGGGAGATATAGAGGCACGAGTCGGGATATAAGGAAGAACATACTTACATCGACGAATATGCGTAGATGAATGGGGTAGTTAGTGGAAGAAGCAGAGGAGGAGGAGGCGGAGGAGGAGGAAAAGGAGGTGGGGGAGGTGGAGAAAGGCAAGGAAATGCTTGTAGAGATAGAGGGAGGGGAGAGTCAAACATCTGAGAGAGAGGAGCAAATTTTAGTCATTAAACGGGCACCGAAGACAGCGAGGAGGAGAGGGCCACAACGACGATAAGGACAACGACGACGTCAGCGACGAGGACAAAGGGAGTGAGAACGGCTATAGATGTAGAGGAGAAGAAGATCAGGACCCATAGACACCGAGGAGGAGGAAGAGGAGGAAGAAGAGGAGGCAGTGAAGGAAGAGAGGAGGAAGAGGAGGAGGAAGAGAAGGAGGAAGAGGAGGAAGAGGAGGAAGAGGAGGAAGAGGAGGAAGAGGAGGAAGAGGAGGAAGAGGAGGAGGAAGAGGAGGAGGAAGAGGAGGAGGAAGAGGAGGAGGAAGAGGAGGAGGAAGAGGAGGAGGAAGGGGAGGAGGAAGAGGAGGAGGAGGAGCGGAGTCTGAGGACACTGGCGAGAGGAGAAAGAAAATGAGAAAAAAATGAAAGTATAGTGAGTCTAGTGACCAACGAGGAGGAGGAGGAGGAGGAGGAGGAGGAGGAGGAGAAAGTTGGGCAAACAAGCTAGATGCAGACAATTAGAAAACGAGGAGGAGCAGGGTTTCCACAATCTAGCAATTTCCTGTTATTTTTTCAGAGATTGCATGCGGCATCCCATTTCAATGCTTTGTAGAAGAAAACCATGAAGCCCATCAAGGGTCTGAGAAAAAGTGGTTGGTGAGACCTTTACTGTGGCAACCCCTTGACCTTCAAAAGAGCAGAGGTACTTCTGAATGACCCTGAGATTAGCCCTCACTTGCGCTAAGTTGCCATCGTACGGTGGGCTCATTCTGTTCCCGAACCACTCCTCCAGGAGCGAGTCGTGGTCCTCCTCGTCCATTTTCAGCACAATTAACACAATGATCGGTTTCAAAGTATGTTTCCCTACTTGTTTTCTCCTCGTGCATTCCGCCCTCGACGACTCGCTCTTCCCAACAACCGCAACGTCCTCTCTTGCATCCTTCCCCAGTTCCGCCTTCCCTTCTTCTCCAGCTTTCAACTGCCCATCCTCCTCCCTCCCCGTCGTCTCCTCTATGCTCTCTCCCCCTCCAGTCCTGCCCTCCATCGCTGCACCCTTCTCCGTCTCCTCCCTCCCTATACTTGAGTTCCCTAATGCTGCTTGAACTGAACCCTCCGCCTTGCATCTTGAGCCGACATGCTCGTCCAACTCCTCACTTGCGTTGTCTACGGAGCCAAGCTCCGCACGTTCGATGCTCTTCCTCACCCCATTCTCCCCACCTCCTTCCTCTGGTTCATCACCCTCGCCACTTGTCCCGTTTCCCTGTGCCGTGACGGAACCAAACCTTCCACTGCCGGCCGTGGCACAGCTGGAGCCTCTGACATTGCCACTGCTGGGACCGGCGTGCTGGAGTTCCCTTTCTCCGCTCGACTCGCTCGGTGAAGGTGTGCCCCTGCCCTCCTCTTCTAGCCCTTTTCCACTGCTCCACCCAACCTTCGCTCGATCAGCGATCGCTACAGAACCTGCCTCGCCTTGCCCTCTACCGCTGCTCTCATCATCGGAACGCTGTTGTGACCTGCGCGCAACACTTGCATCCGCGGTGTCGCCGTCGGGCCCCCGACCGGGACCACAGACATCAGGAACCGGTGGCGTTACCAAGACGCCTAATGAATCGATGGTCGCCGGTGGGGTGGGGACCACGCCATTGGGACCAGAAGCAGTCGACAACGGAGGCAGAATGCCAGCCATCTCCTGGAGGTAAATAGCAGGGTCTATTTGTACCCCTTCAATGATGATGGGCTTGCCCTCTCGCATCGACTTTGCAAGATCGCCCTCAAGCCCTTTCCGCACAACCCGGCACTCTCTACAAAACTCGCTGAGGACTTCCTCAGGACTCAGGTTCCTTGCCCACACCGGCTCTGGATGCAGCGGTGAATCCTCGGCCGTACGAAGCAACTCGTAGATCATGTCCGTTTGCAAGACATTTGGCAAGTTCAGGCGCTGGGCCAGCTGTGTGGCGATCGTCGACTTTCCCACACACGCTGTCCCACAGACCAGAACAATGAGCGGAACACGCAAATGATGAAACCGGGTCATCATCTGATAGCGACTGATGTACTCGTCGCCGAATCCTCGTCTTCGCATAAGTTTGAAAAGGTTGGCCTCCAGGTCGCTCTGCGATACATCCAATAAAGAATTGTCCACGAGGAGCTTCTTCAGCTCAAGAGCAATCTTGATCGCTGTCACATGAGGGATTTGCGTAAGTGTGAGCGTCCTACTCACAAGGAAGCGAGACAGTACATAATAGTGATCGTTGTGATCGCCCAACCATACCTTAACCTGCAATGACAACACAAGGCGACAAGCAAACAAACAGAAAAAGAATTACACAAAAAGAAAGAGACGACAACAAAAAAAAAAAAAAAAAAAGAAACAAAAACAAAAAAAAACAATCGCATGACAGTGCCCCTCCTCCTAACCCTCACCCACCCAAATATAAAAAAAAAAAAGAAAAAGAAAAAGAAAAAGAAAAAGAACAGAGAATCTTCAGAAGGAAACAAAGACTTGAAAGAAGCGGAGGAAACAATAAATAAGACAACGAAAAGGACTTTTTGGGTCACGAGAAAGAGCAAGAGGCGGTGCAAAAGAACCTGCCTCACATTGCTGAATGGTACAGACATGTAACTGTCTAGAAAAAGATCAAGAGTTCGAATCCTCCTGAAATAAGATCGATGCAATAGTGTCAGGAGATACTCCTTTCTTTAAAATAATAATAAAAAATTGAAAAAAGAGAAAGTGCAAACGAAAGAACACCGTTACACACACGTAATTCTGGATCAACAGATCAAGTGGGTGTAGCTCAGTTCGTAAGGTGCTCAAGGGGCACTCAGGAGGTCATGGGTTCAACTCCCATTACCCCCACGACGCTGCCTTCGGCATGCTTGGCGTCTGACCTTCGAGACAGCCAGTTGGTAAGAAAGTATCCGGTAGCAGTGGGTTGAGCTCCGGCGTTGTAACGGGGAGGTTGCAGGTTCCATTCTGTCGGCCCTCGGTCGTCCCCGCGCACAATTCGTTGGTGTTAGTGTGGTACCCAACGCGCTTGTCTTCCAGTCTAGAACAGCGCATAAACAGACCAGGTGTTATAGTAGCTCGGTAGGTTTGAGCTAGTAGCTGTCTCGTGGAGGTTGCGGGTTCAAATCCGGTTGGGCTGGGTTGAGCATATTCCATGGCTATAGTGGGGATGCAGGTAGGATTACGGCTCTGCTTTCGGGGCCCAAGGTCCTAGGTGGGGTGATGGGGTCCTGTTTCAGGGGCGGCCTGGTTGGGACAAGCTCTGCTGGAGGATACTGGGGGGGAACCTACAGTAGGGGTTGTCTTAGGGACCCCACAGACTCTAGTGAAGGAGATCGTTGGGGAACCTGCAGTAGGGGCTGCTGTCTGAGGGGGATCCTCCAACATAAGATTGTCCCCGTCCCGTCCTAATACAAAACTCTAACAGCGACCCTAGTTCATGACGGAATTAATGGAACGGATGGTGGCCGCCTCCTACATACTAATGACGGCGACTAAGGGCCGTTTACAACCGTATAACAACTACAGAGGGATCTAGCTCATGACCGAGGTGAGGTAATGGATGACTGGACCAGAGAACCCACTGATGACAGAAGGCTAGGATCCAAACAGACTGGCATCCAATCAAATAACGTTCAGAATAACCACAACAACAGTATCACTAGGCAGGTAATCTGGGCTTCAAAAAAAAAAAAAAAAAAAAAAAAAAGGTAGGTAACCTGGGCTTCAGAGGGGATGTCATGAGGTTAGACCTTGGCTGGGGAGACGCCATTAGACACTGCCCGCGATGTCTATAGGCTATAGTTCGACTCATATCCTGCGGGCCCCAGGTCATAACAACAATAATACAATACCGATTGCTGGCAGAGGGGAGTCTAAACCCTCTCAGGCAAGACCTGTAGTCGCACGTTCACACCTAGCTCCCGAAGAACCCACGCAACAGGGCCTGCACGGCGTCCACTTCAACCAGGGCTGAGTGGGGAAGTAGTGGTGGTCCCCCCGCTCAGCCTGGGTGGTCCACACTAAAGTTGGACAGAGGGGGGTGCGCCGGGGTAATTGATCATATCCTCCTGAAATCAGATCAGTGAGAAAAGTGTTACAGCAACTTAAAGCAATGAGCCCAGTCAATCGGAAACCTCGTCAAGTCAAAGTACAAGATGTCTCGGACTCTCGGCGCAAATCAATGTCTCCGATAATCATGAACGTGATCCGAAGTACAACGTCTCGTAACCAAGGGACGAAGCTGATAGGAGAGAGATAAGACTTAGAGGCTGGAAGAGAAAAGTATCCATCAATGTCATCGAAGATCGATCTCCCTCGCGTCACACTCCTCCTTTGGGCATCTCCCCTCTGTCCACGTCAGCGTACAGCACCCCAAAGACGAGCCTGGCGAGAACCGATTACAACATAGTGCCACGTAGGCACAGATCTCCCATGAAGACGTCACAGCAGTGCGCAATGTCGACAACAATAATCAGGTAAGCTTACCTCTCTCTCACAGCCAATCTCACAGCCCTGATCTCCCTCCTTGTCGATACCCCACGCTGTGTCGAAGACAATGTCGCAAGTGCCACGTAGGCAATCAATACCCAATACCTCAGCTAGCGCCAACAACAGAGAGGCGGCAGCAACACAATGCAGCAGTCTCAGCTCGTCGTCACACACAATGCCAGCGCTGTCCCAGCATCATGCCAGCGCCGTGCCAGGGCCATGCCAGCGTCATGCCAGCGTCGTGCCAGCGTCGAGCAGCAAGTGCAAGACTGAATGTCGATGAGCGGGCCTGAATCAATAAGTAGTGTAGTCGCAAGTTGACCAGCCTCTGGTCTCCCGGATACGAGGGCTCAGATTGACTCGCAGTCGATGGCCTGGATCTCATACAGTTGCAGACTTCCACTTGGACCAGATTTGGCCCGGATACCTGCATACAGTCAAATGTGCGTATCTGATCGGTGGCCTGGACTGGGTCCGTGCAGACTTTGACTCGTGAGGCTCAATTTCGTGAGGCTCAATTTCCAACCTCCAGTTGACTTTCTTCAGTCAACTGTCGGGCGCAGGGCCTCTGAAGCCTCGTTTCGGGGCCTTGTTTGGGTACCGTCTGGCACAGGGCCTTACTGTGGCCTGTGGGCGGCCCCTGGCCGACGACAGTAGCATGTTTTGAGCAGGTTACTACATTAGCGGCAACTGCATTAAAAAATAAATAAATAAATAAATAAAAAACGAAAGCACAACACAAAGATCACACAACAGGGGGGTGAGGGTGCGCCGGGGTAATTGATCATATCCTCCTGAAATCAGATCAGTGAAAAAGTGTTCGCGCCACTACACAGCGACTGCATTTGGAAAAAAAAAAAAAGAAAAAAAAAAAAAAAAAAAAAAAAAAAAAAAAACGAAAGCACAACACATAGATCACACAACAGGGAGCGGCCACAAGAACGAAATATTGGAGGACCACCACCAGGGGCAAGGTCCACTTGCATGGATCAAGCGATATCGGCCGTGTTGAACTTCCTTGTCAACGGCCTAAATTGCTTATGAAGCACTAGCACCATTCCCAGCCACTTCAATGACCATGGCTCAGATGTGATTGATTCCAGACAATTAAGAGTCGGAAGGCGCGAACCGAAGCTGTTTGTCAGCTTCCCTTCCCGAGCCCACAAACAAGGCTAAGGTTTTGGGGGGCGAGCTGCATGACGGGAAACTGTCACGTGTGGTTCTGAGGGCAGGCGTTCTGCACTGACCCCTATCCTAACGCACGATGTCCTTCGGGACTTGGCCTGCCGAATCAAAACAGCTGGCGGCACCAGGCCAGAAGAAAAAAAAAAAAAAAAAAAAAGCCCACGGCAGTTCATTCTTTTATTGACACGCAACAGAAATCGGGGAAAAGAAGCTCGGCAGTACTGGTGCTTTGATCGGGCAAACGAGTCCGCAGCGGCTTTACGAACCGTAGGACGGGAGCGAGCAACAGAGAAAAGAACAGAACTCAGATGCGAAGCAAAAACTCATCACTGGAACTCCATGTGCATGTCCATCCATGTACAACGACACTGAGTCACCGCCAACATAGAAAACACAGCAATGTCCTGGATGGACATGGGCATGAAATTCCACTGAAGAGATTTTGCTTCTCATCTGGGTTCTGTTCTTTTCCTCCGTTGCTCGTTCCCGTCCTAAGGTTCGTGACGCCGCGGCGGACTCGTTTGCGCGATCAAACCACCAGTACCTCCAAGCCTCTTTTTCCCGATTTCTGTTGCATGTCAGTAAAAGAATGAACCGACGTGGGCACTTCTCTCCTGGATGCGATTCGCTGGCCCACCCGCCAGTTCTTCAGGAAGTGCACAGTACGACTACTGTCTCCCGGATGGAAGGACAAATCGTTCCTTTTCCCTTCTTTTGCTCCCTACCGTCTTCCACCCGAATATAACGCCCGGTCATCATAGCTGTATTTGGGGCAACTTTCAGTCTAGATACCGCCATAATGACCAGGCGTTCTATTCGTGTGACGACGGTAGGGTAGTCTCCTGGAAGGTAGGTAGTACCATCCCCATCCCATGAATTGCACAGTCCCTCCCCTGTCGCAGTCCCAGTTCATCTCTTAAACTCTTACTCGCACTGCCTGTCCACACAGGTGGTCCCCATGTCGAGCCCCCCCATGCCTGTCAAAATAACTAACTTCTAAGGAGTCCAATGTCCGCCCCAACAAAATCTCAAGAAGTCAAGACCAACTCAAAAAACTTCCGCACAAATTTTGAAAAATCCAAGGATGCACCAACAGGCCTGGCTCAGTTGCTACACCCAACGAACTGTTGAAATACAGATCGAAGTTCGAATCCCGACACAACAAGATCAGCATAATAGATTCATTCCGAGTTACCTGGGTCAGGTCAGTTCAATGATGATATCTCAAGGCCATCGCCCTTTTTTTTTTATCCCAGGACAAACAACCCCATCCTCAACCCAAAAGCTCCCCGATGGCCCCAACTACATATGTACCACGGGAGTTCCAGCAGCCCCAAACACAGCTGCACCAGAGCACCAACACTCAGCCTGCTGATGGCCCAAAGAGGCGCGGGAAAAAGAAAAGAAAAGAAAAGAAAATCCCTCAAAGGAGGGAAATAGCACTGCCGCCTAACGGACTGTGTAATGGACCGTGCCACTTGAAAATGACATTCAACAAATTTGGCCAAATCGAACCGTCCGATATCCTTGCCAACATCGCAAGGGCTGCCATGAACACACAGAAGGACAAGGGGAAAAAAAACGAAAAAAAAACGACAGGAAACAGAAGAAGAGAAAGAACATGAAAGGCAGGATAGATCACAGAGGCAGCTACCCAATTGCAGTACATGCATGGAAGGGAGACAACATGCACAAACATGCAGACACAGGCAAAAGCGAGCCAGGGAGGGAGCGAGGGAGGGAGAGAGAGAGGGAGGGAGGTATCCGGGGAGGGAACAATCCAGGGAGGAGTGACGGAGTGGTCCAGGGAGTGAGGGACGGAGGGGGCAATCCAGGGAGGGAGGGAGGGAGGGAGGGAGGGAGGGAGAAGTCCACAGAGGCAGGGAGTACGCAAGATGGGAGCGAGGGAGGGGGCAATAAAGGGAGAGAAGGAGGGGACAATACAGGGAGGAGTACTGGGTCTTTTGTTTACCTTGACAAAATCATACTTGGACGTCGTGTGTCGAGGGGGGCGGTGATCTGTTCGAGTGTCCTCCATAGCAGTATGCTTAGTGCGATGAGGGAGCTTTTGTTTCTCTGCCTGCTTTGCTCGACGCACTAACGCACTGGAGCCCCTAGACCCTGAGTCATGGCAGCGAGGTACATGCAGTGACAGACACCGAAAGCGTGCAAGTTAGCAGATGCAATTACAAACACCATAAAATGAGGATGCAATCTAGGAGACCCTTAACACTAGAAATCTAGTAACCTTCCGGACGATGGAAGGTCCGCCAGACGTGAGTGGTATACCATATGGTATACCATATGGTGCTGTACACATTCCAGAAGCAACAACATCCAGTCTGGTACCGGTACAGGAAGTCCCGAAGGCCATTCACTGCATACAAGCATGCAATTGTGCAAGTCGTCAACACATATTCACTGGCGTGCCGAGGTGGAAGCGCTGATGCACTATCGTGTGCTGCTGCAGGTCGACGGCGCTAGGCGCCCATAGCTCTAGTCTAGGAGAGAGAGAGGGGGCAGGGGGTATTCAAAGAGGACTTTAGGCCAAGAGTAGGGTACGAGAGGGAGAGGGAGAGGGAAAGAGAGAGTGAGACCATACCTGTGTGTTGTTGCCAGCGGCCATTGCCGTCCAGCCATGAAGAAGACATCACTGCTGCACTATTGTGTGCTCCTGCAGGTCAACGGCGCTAGGCGCCCATAGCTATATAGTCTGGGGGAG